ATAATGCTAGTCCAATCGAGGTTTCTAACAGTTTGGAGTCGAACGACGATATAGATGACTCTACTTCTAAGTTAACCCAGTTTATATATGGTGCATTAAAGTCGCCTACTACAAGGCTTTTACCGTTGTTACACCAGGACTTAAGTTTACTGAGGAGAAAATCATCTGCTACACATTCTGGACTGCGATAAACTACAACTAATTCAATATCTTGCCTTCGGCATTTCAACTTACATCTCACCAGTTCACATGTCCCTGAAACATGTGCTACTGACTCAGCTAATCTTATGGTTAGGGTACTTTTCGTGTACACAATAACCCCGCCTCCCCTTCGGTTTAATCTATCAGCCCTACTGGTTATGAAACCAGTCAATTGGATTTCACTATCTAATGCTTCTGACGTTAACCAAGTTTCCGAGACAGCGATAACGTCCGGTTTTTCTTTATCCACCACTGACTTCAGCTTCGCCATTTTATTTAGTAGGCTGCGAGCATTTGTGTAGCACACTTTTAAGTCTGTGGAGAGCTTTCCCTTGCCACTCAGAGTGGCTTGGGGATCGTTTTGCTCCGAACTTTTACAATCTGAAAACCCTTAAGAACGAGGTTTCTTTCACCGTTTCGGCGACGCTCGTTTATTTCCGCTTCTGCAGCCCTTCTCTTAATACGATCAGCTAGGCTGAGGTCCTCACGGACATATATTCCGGATCCAATCAGTTTACGTGAATTACTTAGAACCAGGTTCCTTTCTTCCACCGTGTTGAATGTAACCTTTAGGACGCGGTTTTTCTGAGGACTTTCGGAATCCACTTTTTTTCCTATTCTATAAAGCTTACAAATACTAACTCCTGAAACTGTATCTGGGAGTAGTTTACTTAATGATGTCTTAATATGATTGAGATCATGTTCAAATCTTGCCTTTGGTTCAGTGTCTGAAGATTCTCTTATCTTATGAAAAATGACTGATCTCTCAGAGAGATCTGTCTTTTCACGCGGTGAGGATTTTTCTTCTGATAAAGTCCCTTCCAATGTCTTGCTGACCAGCTGCGTTTTGCATACAGCCTTTTTCTTCTTATTTTTTTCTTCTTACCGGAGTCCATTTGTCACCACTCAGAACAGCCACACCTGGACTATGTGGAACGGTGACAGTTTTATCTGGATCTTCTATTTCGACTAGAGGTGTATGACTGCCGATGTCAATATCAAGCGACACTTCATTTCTCGTTAATGTCAACGGAGATTTCACGTTCCCGTCAACCGCAGTCAGGTGTTTAATGGGTCCAGTAGCAGCACTTACTACACTGACACATTCTTCATCGTCAGTACTCCTGTTATCAGTGCTTCCGCCATCATTTTTCTTGCAGGCCAAAGCCAATAGGCCCATAGCCTCCTGTATTAGTACCTTTTTATCCGTACAGCAGAACACACAAAGCCAATGCGAGTTAGGCTTCGAGCATCTTTTGTAAGCCGTCGGACTTAGTCGTGTACACATTTTGTGATACCACTTTTTACAGTCGTCACACTGCATTCCCTCCTCAACGGAGAACAAACAATTTGGTTGCCCACATTTGTGAGTCTTACCAACCATTGTAATTCGATTTAAAAGGTTTAAAAACAAAAACGATAACAATGTGAACACAAGTCTTAGTCAAGGACTAAAAACAGGTACCCAGGACAAAATGTAGCAAAAAATTTCAAACTTTAACAAAAAAACTCTTAGTTAAAGTAGACCAAGAATGCTTTTTAGTGCAATAAGTACCAAAAGCAAGTATAATCACAACAAGTACAAAAATCACTGCCCTTTTTGAAATTAGCGCGTGGAAATTTTTTTGATAGAAAATATGCTGTGATTCTTACAAAATTGGCATGCAATACATATTAAATTTTCATGCAGCTTTTTTAAACAAAGCTATTATTAAATAAGAACCAATCTCCTTCGCGTTAGATCTTGATGTAAAGTAAGTATACATACTAGACCGGTGGAAGTGAGTTCATTCCGTATAATCTCAAATCTTATGAATGATACATCAGTCTCTATAGCTTTTAAGTACATCACCTAGTTAGAAAGACAGTTCCCCAAGTGTTCTATGCATTCAGGGGACCACTCTAAGCTTACCAGGTTACGAGGTTTTTTGACATTTCAAACAAAATAGCTTATTGAGGATTATTAACTGGATAAATTGTATCAAACGCATCCAGAGATCTGTAACTGTCATACAGCATAGACAAGTGATTGACAAAAAATTTACTGGTTTATATTTCTCTGCTCAGGAGTATAAGATATTGGTTCACAACCTCGAGTTTAACAATCTTGAGGAATCCATATGGTGCTCTGTAAGATTGTCTAGTACTTCCAGGTGTCTAGTCGGAGTCATTTACAGGAAGCCAACTGCCGACACCGAGTACGATAGTCGTATGATGGAAGGACTATCCCGCTCTATCCGTCTCGGTTTCACACACATCCTGATTCTAGGGGACTTTAATCTCCCTAGAGTCAACTTCGCGGAACACACGTACACTGGAGGCGACAACTCAACTGAAGCTCGGTTCTTCAACCTCATCGATAACTTGGGCTTATATGAAAATGTGAGGTCGGCAACTCGTTGGAGAAACAGTCAGACACCATCGCGCTTAGACTGTGTATTCACTAACGAAGAATTCCTAGTCGACAAACTCTCAATCCTGGCTCCTCTGGGAAAAAGCGATCATCCCGTCATAGCCTTCAGTTTTGTAATCAAAACTAAGCTAAGGTATCCCAACAATAATTTGCGTTGGAATTTTAAACGGCTGAATGTGCCAGCTCTACATGACTATCTACAACAGGTGGTTTGGGATGTTCACCCTCAAATCGATGTGGATGGTCATTGGGACTTCTTACTGCACACGCTCTTATGTGCTACAGACCATTCAGTTCCTCAAACGGTTCCCAAAAGCTTCAAGCCACCTACAGTAATCAAGAACCGTACCCTTCGCCTCCTAAGCCGCAAACGGCACTGTTGGGCGGAATACAAACGAACTAATAACGATGGAGCGTATAGGCAATACAAACATATCAGGAACACATGCACGAAGGCTATAAGAGAAGACAGGCTTCAGTACCAAACAAAGCTTATGGACAAATTCGCCTCTAACCCTAGAAGCCTATTCCGTTATGCAGCCTCTCTTCGTCAAGCCAAAATAGGAGTTTCTCAACTGCTAGGTCTTAACGGCCCGACCAACAACGATGGCGATGCCGCTAACCTTATGGCGGCCCATTACTCTCAAACATTTCAACCGGCTGACATCAACTTTATTGACGACAGTTTCATCTCCAACTCCACAGGACTTTCTGAAGTGGACCTAAGCGCTGACTTGGTGTTCCGGAAATTGCAGCACTTAAGACTTGACACTTCTCCTGGCCCGGACATGGTTCATCCTGCCATACTGAGGGAGGCAGCCTCAATCCTGGCAACGCCGCTTAGCGTGATGTTTTCACACTCGCTTAGCCGAGGCAAATTACCGGAAAACTGGAAGTTGGCTCACATCACACCAATTTTCAAAGGTGGTCGACGCAATGAACCTTCAAGTTATCGGCCGGTGGCTCTTCTGTCGTTACCTTCAAAACTCATGGAGTCCCTGATATGCGACGGTTTAAATGACTATCTACTGTCCTTAAATTTCTTCTCACCCCAACAGCATGGTTTCAGGAAGGGTTACTCTTGTATAACCAACCTGCTGACTGCGGTGGACAGATGGACAAGCATCCTCGATTGCAAGGGAAAGGTTGACGTCATTTACCTTGCTTTCTCAAAAGCTTTTGATAAGGTTAACCACTTGTGTCTTATCAACAAGCTCAAACGACTAGGTATCAAACCACCTCTAATCGATTGGCTTACTTCATACCTAAAAAATCGACACTTTAAGGTTAGGGTTAATTTCACTTTATCTCAGGCTATGGAATGTCCTAGTGGGGTCCCGCAGGGCTCAGTACTAGGGCCTCTTCTCTTCTTGATCTACATAAATGATCTTCCTCAACAGGTAACGTCAGACCTATTACTTTTTGCCGACGACGTGAAACTTTGGAGAGAGATACGCAACCAAGACGATACACAGGCACTTCAGGAGGATCTGATGCGACTTCAAAGTTGGGCAGACGATAACGGACTTACCTTTAACACTTCAAAGTGTAAAGTAGTCCATCTGCGACATGTCGCAAACTACAGTTACAACTTAGGAAACTCCTCTCTAGTAGTATCCCAAGTCGAAAAAGATTTAGGAGTCCTGGTGCCCCATGACTTAAAGTCTTGCGCTAACTGTGACAAAAATGCCTTACGAGCAAACCTTGCACTGGTTACATTGAAGCGCATTTTTGGACAGTTTGACGGACGAACTTTCCATACAATCTTCAATAGTTTCATCCGTCCCTATTTAGAGTACGGAAACATAGTACTCCCCCCTCACTCCAAAAGGACAAGGTCACTTTGGAGCGTATCCAACGGCGAGCCACGAAATCAGTTCGAGGACTGAAATCTAAGCCTTAAGAAGAACGCCTCCGTTCACTAGACCTTTACCCACTAGAATGTAGGCGTCTTAGAGGTGATTTACTAATGGCTTATAGTATTCTTAACACTTCTGGACATCCTCTTAAACACCTACTTAAGCTTAGTTCGAATAATAACCTAAGGGGTAACACCCAGAAACTGGAAACACAACGTAGCAGAACGGACTGTAGACACAACTTCTACTCCTTAAGAGTTGTCAAAAGCTAGAATTCGCTGCCGGCCGAGCTAGTCCAAGCGACTTCTCAGGAGTCCTTCAAGAGGCAACTTGACCTATTCTTAAGGACCAAGGACAGCATCACATTATGATTTACCAATTTCTTTTCCTTTTTTATTGTTAACATACCTAGGTTCCTGCCTGGAGGATTTGGTGATCCCCTGCGACTAGACACGGAAGCCTGTTAAGCGAAAGCTTCTTCTATTCCGTCCACACCCATTTGAACCATTTGAACCATTTGAACCAATACTGAAGCGGCTGTTTCGAGTTTGGTCGGTACGAGTCTTGGAATATCCACATGGATAGTTCGGGTTCGTGTTTCTTGCTCGTTGGAATTTTCACAGGCTATTGTTGTTAATGATTACGCCAAGAAGTAAATGGTCATTTTCTCATCCAGTAAGTAATCCTAGTCCACATGACTAACTTGTTTACTGTTTCATTGTATATTATGCTTGCGTTCCGTCGTAAGTTTTTAAATTACATAAGAATATCGTACTATGTCCATAGGTTATCTTCGGTTCGGGACTCTCCTTTTCATTGCTTTAGCTACAGACAAGGTATCCTAAATCATGATAGATCTAGTAGGTGTCTCTGCAGAAACACTAACCCTTAACCATCAACAGTAAATTCTAGTTCCTCACCATGGTTTATAACTCTCATTTGGTCCTAGTTAGTATATAGACATTCTCAAGGCTACTTTGAAGTCACCCAAAGGTCGTCCGTAAATTAGTCTAACTGCTCCAATGTCACAAACAATACCACACAATCATCTCAATGTTCCACAACGTCCATTTCTGTACCCTTTAACAAATTTCATCAGCTAAGTTTATGCTCTACTGGCCATCAAATTTAGTGTCTTCGAGACACGTGCGTCAGGAAAATGTGTATTCGTTTGTATGCGTACATCTTAACATCACGTCCATCTTGGGTTTCAATGGTTAATTTATTCACTGCTACTGTTAAATTTTCACTTGGTATGTTTGATTATTTCTATACCTCCACTTCTTGAGTATTCCATACAGCATTTTTATCTTATCTATTTTGATATCCGTGTGAGATCTATCGTTACAACCTACTGTCGTCATGATTCTGAACTTTGGTTTCGCACTGAGTACACATTTTAAGGAGTGAATTCGATTCCAACTCACTAAACTTCATCAGCACAATACGAAGAAATTAAAAAGATGGAAAGGGTGTGAACAACTCAAGGGGTACTAAAAAAACAGACACAAGGAATATGTCATGAATAATATTGCTCTTGAAAACACGATGCGGTAAAACTCTACTTTATGGACGACCTTTGAACGAATTTTTAAGTGACCTTGAGAACATTAGCCAATCAGAAGAGAGTTAGTATAAAGTAAAATTATGTTATAAAAAGTGATGAATTACAATGGATATTCTTCTTTTACATTATTTAAGAACTTGTTGAGGTTTGACATAGGTTCAGAAGTTTTGAAATCATAGTGCATGCGGTATAAGAACTCGTCCATGTGACTACATAATAATCGTCCTCTAGAGCCGTGGTAGGAATTTAAAAAATACTTCAGCCTAGACCACATGTTCTCAATGTTGTTTGTATGGTCCCCCGTCGTTGGATCAATAAAATGACGTTTGTGCACCACAACATGACGCACAAAACCAAGTCTCGAGAGGCATTTATACGCTTTCCAATCATCGGTATAGCCGCAGCTAATGTTACTGGAGACTTTATGATCCAATTTGCAACGATTATCATGGTTTGTCTTAGCCTTAGCCGTGACCGGGCAAAAAAGTGCCAGTTCGAGCAGATTTTTTTCTACAACATATAATACAACGAAATGCAATGTCATCGCGGCAGTCTGCACATCGTGCTGCGGTCATTTAATTGCCACAGACACAGGAACTTCTTAATAGTCCCATCTGCTGTAGTCTCTCAACGGTCACCTATTCTCTAAAATCTGCTGTAAAACGATCGAATGTGAGCATCTGGCATTGAACTTAGCTCCGTGACCTTGAAAATCCTTAGACGCTTCTGATTGGCTCGTCCATAAATTAGAGTCCTACCCACGATGCATATACGAGACCAGATATTGAATCATGTCACTTCAAATATTTAATAGTGGTTAAAATACTCCCACTCAATAGGTTACGTGTTTATACCCCGTTCTACCTATTTTGCTCTAGGGAACTGTAGTAATATTAGCTCACAAAGCAGCTCATTATGAAGTACTTAAGGTATTACTTGGTAATTAATTTGAGTTCAGTACTGTGTGGAAGGTCGATATCAAACGTCAAGCTCGTATCGCTGTCTAAAATTTCGTTACTAACATAAAGCAAGGAAGATAGCCGTTGATTTAGACAGGTCAACCCCACAGACGTACGAAAATCGGGTACATAGGACCTAGAATATGTGCATTGGTTTTGGTTGCCATACACATTAAATGGAATTTAAAATCGAGGAGATAAACAGTGAGTGCATCTGTGCTATTGTGAATCATTTCACCTAAAGCTTCTAACCACTAGTCGCTGTTATCATGTGGACCAGGTAACCTGCATCAACCAACATGGCTTGGACCAACAGTTATTGACTTCATGGACTAATGTCACGTTTTAGTTTGGTCGCCTCTAGTTTCTTCCGAATCTACTTGTTCAATTTTAAGTGCCATTCATCAAGGTAGGGGTTGGTTATACATACGCATGTTCTACCTGTCTCTGTCGATAAAGATTCACTACCTCATCAACTGACTTGTCAACTTTGTTTAGTACCCTGTGTCTAACCTCAGCGTTACTTTCCCGATTATTCTATGAAACGTAAGCAGTGCTTCGAAGACACCTATCATCAAAAACCTTCAGCCTACTCATGTATCCTACTTTCATAGGCCATGGGATTACGAAAAACCAGTGGAATTCCGCTACGTCTATTGCACGGATAGACTCGTTAACTCATTCCATCAGTCTTCGAACACGATAAAAAGCGAAACCGTGTCGGATCTAGGCTAACAAAAGGGCTTAGGATCGACCGTGAGCAGTCGTGGGTGATGGAAACAAAATAGGTGGAAAAAGTAGCGACTGTAGGTAACACCAGACTAATAAACGGAACTGGAATTAAGAGGTGAAGTGTGAAACGATCTCGGAAAATGATGACACTCTTATCTGCTTTCAGCCCAGACGTTTAGAAAGATGAGCGGAACACTTTAAGGAGCAGTTGAGTTGAACTTCAGCTACTCTACAACTACCCACCATTCCTAAACAGCCTGAATGGGACGTTAAAATAGGTCCTTCGACTCTAATTGAAGTTCGAAAAGCTATAGCTGTTATGAAATGAAGAAGAGCAGCTGGTCCAAATGGATTGACTCCAGAGGTCTCTAAGTCTGGTGGTCCAGTTTTAGAGATTAGGTTGACTGATATTTTAGCTAAACTCTGGGTGTTGGACGTAATCCTATCTGACTGGTCACAATCACTGATTCTCCCAATATATAAGAAGGAGTCAAAATCATCCTGTGACAATCATAGAGGGATTAGTTTGACCAATATAGTATCTAAAATACTAGCCTCAATAATTATCGTGCGCCTAACAAAGACTCGTGAACTGCAAACATGAGCAAATCAAGCTGGCTTCAGACTTGGTCGTGGCTGCATCGATCACATATTCACCATTCTTCAGGTTCTAGAACACAGGCATGTTTATGATAGTTTATCTTGACTTAAAGGTAGCGTTTGACTCTGCTGACCAAGAGGTCCTGTGACATCGTCTGTCATTGAAAGGTGTACTTCAGAAGTACACAAACCTTGTAAAGGCTCTTTACTCGAACACTACTAGTCGAGTGAGAGCTTATGACGAACTGTCATCTACTTTTACAACCTCAAGTGGTGTCCGTCAAGATTGTCAATCATCTCCATTTTTGTTCGACTTAATTTTCGGAAATTGATCTACCAGGAGGTTCACTTATCTACACAGAATACACAGATGCCATAGTCCTGTTCGGAGAAGACGCTGATAAAATGCGGAGTCTTCTGATAGCACTAAGCAACAATCCCAGAATGTTTGGAATGCTCTTCTCTCCCTCTAAATGCAAGTTGTTGCTTCAGGACTGGCCTGCGTCAACACCTGAGCTAAGGATGGGGAGTGAAGTAGTCGAACGCGTTGACAACGTCACTTATCTTGGAAGGCTGATCAGCCCTAATGGGTCGGTGTCTGACGAAATCTCAGCACGGATTCGAAAAGCTCGCTTGGCTTTTGCCAACTTACGTCACCTATGGCGAAGGCGAGATATCCGTCTATCAATAAAAGGACGAGTATACTGCGCGGCAGTCCGTTCTGTTTTACTTTACGGCAGCGAAACATAGCCATTAAGAGTAGAATACACTCGTAAGCTACTAGTATTTGACCACAGATGCCTTAGAAATATTGCTGGCGTCTGTTGGGATCACCGGGTAAGTAATAGTGAGGTTAAACGCAGGGTATTAGGGACTGATGGTAAATCAGTTGATGAGGTTATTAATCTTCATCGACTGAGATGGTTGGGCCACGTGTTGCGTATGCCTGAACACCGATTACCACGACGTGCAATGCTGACTGGTGTTGGAGATGGTTGGAAAAAAGTTAGGGGTGGCCAAAGGAAAACGTGACACCAATCCCTGAAGTCAATAACTTCTAGTTTGAGCCATGTTGGTAGATGCAGACTACTTGGTTGGGGTCCGCGTGACTATCGTAACCAATGGTTGGAGACTCTTGGTGACATGGCTCAGAATCGATCACAATGGCGTCGGTGTATACACTCTGTCTTCTCTTAAACTAAGAGATTAAAATCGCTTCATATCTTTCTTTCTACGAACTAATTCTTTCTTCCTGTATTATTGCAATCTTTCTTTTATATATTACCACCTCTGAATTAACTACTTTTATGAATCCGGTGTCCATCTTGTTGTGTCAATGAGGTATGGCAACTTGGACCAATGCATACATGTGTCTGTTCCTACGTTGTAGCTGACTGACTGACTGATATATGTGCCTTGTCCTATGTCGTAGCTGACTGACTTATAAACCATGTTTTACGGTCATAAAGTAGATCATACTGCTGAGAACTATACATGCCATTCGGTTAGAAGACAGACATCTTCCCCTACACCTCATGTGGCACAAATCGGGCTTCCTGCGTCCGTGCTGAGATTTCTTCAGAGTTAATTAGGTTTCGATGATAAGTTAAGTATTCGACGCTCCAAACTACTTCACTGCTTATCGTCAGCTCAGGTATTAGTAATGGCAAGTTGTTAAACACCATTTTGCATTTCAGGGAAGAATATCACATCCCAAACACGCCAAGATTGCTCTTCAAGGTTGTCAAAAGACTCTTCACGTATTTCAAGTTGATAAATAAAGCTTGTCAGGAGATTGACTCCTGAAAAGTTAGTTG